TACCTTTTCTCTTCCCTCCCAACCCCCTTTCTTTCATTCTCTCGATCGTCTGTTTCCCCTTTCCTCTCTATTTAATTGTATCTTTCCACTTCCTTCACTGTCTCCCTCACTTCCTCCTCCTCCTTCTCTCTCTCTCTTCCCCTCATATTCTCCCTTCACCTTTTTGCTCCCTCCTTAACGGTTTTGTTATACTCTTTCTTGTTAAAACTTCATAATATGCATTTCTTGCTCGCTCCATTTACGCCCTTGCAATAACCTCAATAAATGGCCCTCTAACTTGAATGGCTCTTGAGCCTCATAGAGAGTAAACAATAGTATATATAAAAAAAATCGATTCTTATTAGGCATTCTTTATTTTTGCACTCTCTCTCTCAAAATCTGCTCTTTCTTTCCCCCCCCTCTCTCTCTCTCTCTCTTTCTCTTCTCATTCTTTTTTTCTCTTAACCTATTTCTATCATTCTATTTTTTCTTAATATTTCGCTTTCTCTTATTCTCGCCCTATCCTCCTCCTCCTCTCTCTTTCAGATTCACCTTTTCCTTTTCTCTTACTTCTTCGGCAACGCATGAGTTATTCCAAAAACACTTGAAGTACTACCCTCTTGATATTCGTCTTGTCGATTTCAAAGACGGCTTGGAGGAGGTGGGACTAAATAAAATATTATGACAGTAGCGGGCTATATATATATATATATATATATATATATATATATATATATATATATATATATATATCAGTTCATATATGTTTGAAATAACCTAAAGCATCAACACCCGTTTCGCTATAATTAGTAATTCCTAATAAAAATATTCGTCCGTTGCCCACAGCCTAAAACAAATTTGGCGACTACATCTTGGCGCGTTGTGAATTGCTAAATCAGGGAACATGGGCGCTTCGCCGTGGGTAATGCTTAGGGAGGTCGTCTAACAGACCGTTTTTACTGTGGAGTGAGCCTAACACTTACACGATCCGTCCATACATATACTCTTGTGAGAAAAAATTAGCTAAACCTAGCTATATATATAAAATATATATATATATATATATATATATATATATATATATATATATATATATATATATATATATATATATATATATATATATATATATATATATGAACTATATATATATCCACTATATATATATGAACTATATATATATATATATATATGAACTATATATATATATATATAACTATACATATATATATATATGAACTATACATATATATATGAACTATACATATATATATATAGATGAAATATATATATATATATATGAATTATATATATATGAACTATATATATATATAAATATATATATATATATATAAATATATATATATATATATATATATATATATATATATATATATATATATATATATATATGAACTATATATATATATGAACTATACATATATATATATATGAACTATACATATATATATGAACTATACATATATATATATATAGATGAACTATATATATATATATATACATATGAATTATATATATATGAACTATAGTTTGTAGAATCAAATAGTAATGGTCTGCACAGTAGAATGTTTCCACTGATAGTTTGGATATATATGAAGAGGAAGCACTTCAATGTGGCGTAATGGATAACAAGCTTGACTCACTGGACTAAATATGATGGCTGGTGCTCAATACGCATTGTGGTAAATCTAAGCTATGCTTAGTCAGTTTTATTGAAATATTTTGTTAAAGTTGTTAAATTTTTGTGCTTTACCGGTTGGTATGGCAATTTCCATGGCCATATTATAGTCGTGAAACATGCAAGAAACTTATTCAAACCTTCACTCAATAATTAATTTTCATCAGAAATTCAAATTGGAAAAACTTAAATTTTAACGGTTATTTCAAGTTATTATTATTAATAATATCATTATTGCGATTATCATTATTATCATCATCATTATTATTATTATTATCATTTTATCATCATCATTATTATTATTATCATTATTATCATCATCATTATTATCACAGTTATCGTCATTATTATTATTACCTTTATTATTAGTAGTAGTATTATCATCATTATCATTATTATTATGATTATTATGATTGTTATTATTATTACAATTATTATTCTCATTATTATTCTCATCATTATTATTATCATTATTATTATTATCATTATTGGCATCAATATTATTATTATTATCATTATTAACATCATCATTATTATTACAATTATTATCATTATTATTATTACCATTATTATTATTATCATTATTGTTGGCCAAATCTGTCTTACGAACCTTTCTCTTAATAAAATTTTTAAAATAATTCAGCAGATGATGTTATTTTATTAATGGTAACTGGATTTTTGGCGATTGCCTTACTGGTTTTCACTCCTTCGATAATGTGCGCCTGAAAAATGGCGATTTTTTTTTTGATTTTTTTTTTTGCCGTTGCCATAGATTCTCGGCCTTTTGGCTAGGATCAAAGTGTAGTATCTCTCCTCGGGTGGATAAACTACATTTCATCTCTCAACTGAGTAACTCTCTTCGGTCAGAGCGTAACACACTTGTGTCTCTGATTGCATGCGGACAGAGCGCAACTGAAAATATTATTGATGGGTACCCGGTCTCGGGACACAGCTGCCGCCGGCATTACCTCCCTTCATTACACTAAAGAGAGGGGATCTGTATTAATACCGATACCAGCTCAACCGACCTTTGGTGAGGCTGGGCTAGTCTAGTCTAGGCTGGGCTGCGGCATATTTTCTCCCAACATCAAACTGAATTTGTGCCACATCCTGCCAGCGTGGGGCGGCAAGAAATTACAATTGCTTCTCGGCCTTTTGGTTGAGATCAAGGTGAAGTATCTGTTTTTATTAATTATATCTGATTCTCTCTCTACACTTCGATCTTCCTTTTTCTCTTTCATTTTCTCACTGAAACCAAGTAGTGTCTTTTCCTCTATTTCCACGAGATCAAAACAGAATAGTCTATTATTTATGTGGTACTGGCAGGGCGTAACGGCCGCGCAAACTAATGAAGTGAGAAACAAGCACAATTATAATAGGATTATTATTTAATATTATTTTCTATATATAAATACCCCCCTTTTTTAAGGGGGTGGGTACCTAGCGTATGTCTTCACGCTGAACAGTTCAGACTTTTAGAAAACAATTCTGGGTTTCACATCAGGCAGATATTTCACAAAACCGGATAATCCACAAAGTTAAAGAGTACAGAGTGATTATAATTAGATATTTGCATAAAAAAAAGAAGAAGAAAGAAGCGGATTGGGCAGAGACTTAAGTAGGTTAAACGTTTCAATTGTGGGCATTGGAAATGGGTCGCTTGAGAACGAGGCCAGCTGTTTACATAGACTTTTCCCTGACTATGCCTTAAATTCGCGCGTCCCCAACACCAACCACGAGCGAGTGCTTCGCTCGCCTATTAAGGGCAGAAGTGTTTACCTAATGAACAATTCGGCACATGTAAACATTTTACGAGATATTTGTGTCTGACGAAGGATGTGTTTAAAAATCTCCATCCAGATGAGAAAGGAAGTTATGAGAAAAGGATCGTGAATGTAGAATGCAAAGAAAAGGAAAATAAAAGGAGGTAGTGAAATAAAAAAAAGAATAGATTCTTACATCGATAACTGACTGATATATATATATATATATATATATGAAACGTTACTCAGATATTGTTGTCTTTCCCGGCCCTGTTTATTCGACTAACGTACAGGCGGTTCAAGAGAAAACATACGCAATTATATATTTCTGTTTATATCCATTATATATTTAACAACGAACACTAAGGCTCTATTTTACTAGGCCGAGTTTACTCTTGCAACGAGGAGCGCAGGTTCGATTCCTGTCTGGGAGCACATTCTCTTTATTGAGATCTGTCGATTGCACAGGCCAATTGACGTCATAAATGCTGTTCACAGTAAAAATAAAAATGAATTGTCTATTACAAATGAGAGGATCCATTTGAAATAATATATATATATATATATATATATATATATATATATATATATATATATATATATATATATATGTAAGCAAGTATATGGATATAGATCCGACAGTATGAAGAAAAAATATATACGGAAAAACAAAACAAAAAAATCCTTATATACAATTATGCTGTTTTAATGTTATTATGTCAACGTCGGACGTTTCGATCTAATCTTGTTCTTATGTACATCGTCTTTGTCATGTTGTATTGATAATGTTATAATTTATGAATATGTCCTGAAGATGGTTTATTAGACCGAAACGTCCGACGTTGACATATTAACATTAAAACAGCATAATTGTATATAAGGATTTTTGTTTGTTTTTTCCGTATATATTTTCTTCATATATATATATATATATATATATATATATATATAAAAATATATATAATATATTCCATGTTGGTTGTCATAATTTATCATAACTATAATGTAAAAATACGAATGTTTAAAAAAAATTCAGTATTAATATTCAGTATTTACATTATTGGTTTGTTCATGTCTTTTCATAGATTCACCGATAATATCTATTATTTTTAGATGTATATAAATATATATATTAATGTTTAAAAAATTATTAACTCAAATCGACCGCGGTTAATAAAGTTTAGTTCCATTTCCGCTATTATTATAATTCAATCAAAAAATATTTGTTTCATATATAATCGTTGTTACACATAGAAAGTCTCTTGAACCTTTTATTTTTGGTGCAATTATTTTTGGGGCAAATCGGTTGTTGGAAGGGGTGGTGGTACGTAGAGTTCTAACGTCTATTCTGGATGACGAGGTTGGAAAGTGTCCTGTATTAAACTCAGAATACCGATATATTATTAACCATTCGTTTTTTTTACTTTTTTTGTTGAGAATCAGGGCAGATATGCCAGACATATTCACTGAATGGATGAATGGCAGACGTACAAATATGCAAGATGGATTTTGAGAAGATAATTTGTCTGGCACCTGCTTATAATCTAAAACTGTATTTTAATCTACGGTTGAATAACAGCCCAAGATATATGACAAAATCGAGTACAGTAAAACCTCGAATTACGGTACCGGAATCAACTGACACCGGATTTGACGAACAAAATCATATTTAAACTTATAGTGTTAATTCCAGATTCCGCTGTTGTTTACTGGTCGTTCTAATTTGTTTATCAACGTTGTAATATGCGAAAACATTTTACATTATTTTGGTACAGTAACGGTATTTTTTGTCAATATTTTTTCCAATAGTAAAGGAGGGAGAAAAGGAAGATTGGTGACAAGTTTCAATTTATTTGTTAAAGGGTTTGCCGTTTTGAGAAATACGGCGTGAAAAAAAAAACTATAAGTTTCATACGTAATCGTCAAGAAAAACTCATTTAACGAACAAAATCCGCAGTAGTGTCCAGTTGGAAGTCGAAACGCCCGTGCGTAGCGAGCAAAGTCCGTTAGTTCCAGAATTGGCCGCTGTTGTTTACTGGTGCAATCAACAGACAGAGCCTGGTTGTTCCGGGAATAGCCGCCGTTGTTTACTTGAGCACTCGTCGTGTACACACATGCATCGTCACATGCGCAGCATCTATCTATCTTTGTATAATTTATTTTAAGTTACCATATAGTAACTTAAAATTAAGTATTTATAGAAAAATATAAAATACAGATATTTTATACTGTATTTACATTTATTTTAATTTTGTACTGTATTGGGTGTTTTTATTTCCCGAAAAAGCTAAAATTAAGAAAACGTTTAACATCTATATATCCCCTATTAAATAAATTGATGATTTTTTATATATATATATATATATATATATATATATATATATATTTGGTTGGATAGATGTAGAACCTGGGTTTCAATGTTGATCCCATGACGATGGAACCAAGTCAGAAACACCATCGCATTGTTCGTATATGTTATTTTGATGATTTCATAAATACCGCGCATATATATATATATAATTATATATATATATATATATTTATATATATATATATTTATATATATATATATATATGAACATTGAAGTCAACACTTAGGAGGCGTTTCATGCTACAATCGAGGCCGACCATTGCGTCCCATTAAAATGTCTGACTCTAAACTTGACCACGAGAGAACACGCTCTTTCTCTGATATTGCTCGGTTATCCCATAAATATAGCACACCTTAAGACTGGATTTCTTCATAAATATATATATATATATATATATATCCATCATATTTTTCAGCAAGCATGTTTGAAATAACGTTGGATAATTTATTTTCGCCATTCAAGTCCACTAATTAATTTTTTGGTCGCTGTAGAAAATTGATTAAGAAAAATTCCAAAATTTTTCAAATAATTTTTATTTTCGCAAGTACTTTCAATCTCATCTGAGACCATCTTCTATGGATGTATTATGCGTTAACATCGTAAATTTAGAATATTTTTTTTACCTCTAGCCAAGGGAGGTAACTTATATGATTTTTTAAAATATTTTAAAAATTCTTTTACAGATTTTTTAATTGTAGTATTTTCATTTATATTTTTTATATAATATTTCGCTGCTACAAACATTTAAGAACTTTGTTTGCTTTATCCGTATTAGTCTTTATTCATTTTTGGTCACAACTCTCTTATATAAAGGGCTTCCAGAATTTTAATTTTTAGCTCGACGGAGCACTGATGTATTTTTGACTAATAGCTGTCTAAACTGTGAATATGGACATGAGTGTTCCTTTAAATGTTCTGAGATTGAACTATGATCATTCAAGTGAAATGTAAGGCATGGTTGTTGTTGTAAAACCAATATACGTATTAACATCTTTATCAGGACATTTAAATAGATATATAATGTTGTTCTATTGCAAGACGCTTGTTGAAGGAGTAGAGTTCTTATGGATGACTAGGTTGGCTGTATTAAACTCAGAATAGTATATAATTAATTTTATTTTTTACTTGGATTTTGTATTAGTACCTATGAGCTATAATTTTCCAACTTATTTAAAATGTTTGAATACGTTAATCGATTGATATCCAGATTTGCCGTTGATCTATTTATTTATGTTAATATTCCCAGTAGCTCGTCTAATTTGTTCATCAACGTTGTAATTGCGAAAGTCATTATTAACGAGAATTTGTGCAATATTTTTTTAATTCAGTACAGAAAATCTTTCTTGTTGAAGGGTTTGCTTTTGCACGGTTTATTAAGTTTCATATAATATATTTAATATATACATTCATTTGATAGTTTATATATATATATATTTATTTTGTGAGGTAGCAAATGTCTTATTATTAGTGTCTATCACTACATCAAGAACCGGGATTTTATTGTCGTTAATTTCGTATGTGAAATTAAGTACGGAATTTTTGAATTCAACAATTTTGTCTATGTTTTTAACTAAAATAAGAATGTCATCTATATATCCTGGGTAAATGGATGATTTTTTTTTGTGGTAATAAGTACATTATTTTCTCCAGTTAGATAGATAGATAGATAGATCCCAGGATGGAACCAATAGAACCATCGCATTGTTCGTATATGATTTTGAGATCATGGACTGAAATATATATATATATATATATATAGATATATAGATATATACTGATAGATAGATATGAACAACCTGAGATAGATGTCTGACCTAGATAGATAGTCTGCTCGATAGATAGATGGAACAAATACATAGATAGATAGATAGATTGGCACCATGAGCAGAATTTCTATCCGGATCCTCCAAATCAAAGAATGGAGTATTGCTGCAAATTGGTCTGATCAGCTCTTTTGTCTAAGGTATTGACCAGGGAGTCAATGTAATTGGCCCTGATAAACGATAGAATTGAATCTCACAGACGGCATCGATCCCTTAACTTATTTAGGCTCACGTTTATGCTCCGATGGGCTGCTTTCGCTGGTTCCCAGACTTCATGAATTTAGGATTGAAGGCATCTCGCTCACACCCTTTCACTGTCGAAACTGAAATGTAGAGAATGTAGATAGACCTCTTATATAAGTTTTCAAAGATAATCTCCAACAAAAATGTAAATCGAAAGCTCCAAGATGGATCTAGAAAATCCTTCTCTTCAAGAAAGAAACTCACTGAACTCCTAGAATGAAGATAAAAGGTATATATAAATATATAGTATAATATAAAACGATTCTAAATAGCGATGTATGTTTGGAAAAGTAGAATCAACAAAAATCAAAAGAAAAAGACGATAGATAAAATAGATAGATAATAATAGATGATAGAAGAAAGAATAGATAGATGGGGACTGCAATAGTATTCTATGGATGAATTTATTAGTGACTATTCCTACGCAGATGAAACAAAGTCTGTAACATACACTTTTCCATAGAGAGAGAAAAAAAATGGAACCAATTTGTGTAGGTGCGACTTGTATTGATTTGACTAATGAATGTTTGTCTTTCCATCAAACGTTGACCTGATTTGGGCCTGAGAAAAGAAAAACGGTTGCATGTTATTTGCCGTCCCTGAAGAGCAAAAAGAGGATATGAAGATGGGAAAAAAACAGAGGCCATGAATAGGGTCAAAGAATAAAAAAACAAATCGAAGGAAGGAAGAAAGGAAGGAAGAAAGAAAGGAATGAAGGAAAAAGGAAGGAAGGAAAGAAAGTTGGGAGAGAAAAGGAAGAAAAGTAGAAGGAAAAAAAAGAAAGAAGGAAGAAAAAATTGAGAGAAGGAAGGAATGACGTGGAAAGAAAGAAATGAATTTAAAGGGACTAAACCTTGGAGATGAAACAAAGAAATACACTTTTCCAAGAAGGAAAAAATGGAACCAATTTGGTAGGAGAGTTGTATTGATTTGAAAGAAAAGAAAGAGAGGAAGTTTGGGGAGAAAAGAAAAACGGTTGCATGAAAGGAGGAAAGCCTGAAAGAAAGAAGATATGAAGATGGGGAAAAAAAGAAGGGGAAAGAATAAAAAAGGAAGGAAGGAAGGAAGGAAGGAAGGAAGGAAGGAAGGAAGGAAGGAAGGAAAGTTGGGAGAGACAAGGAAGAAAGTGAAGGAAGAAAAAGAAAGAAGGAAGAAAAATTGTGAGAAGGAAGGAAGGCAGGAAAGAAAGAAAGAAGAAAGGGCGGAAACTTTGGAGAGAAAATGAAGAAAGGGAAGAAGGAACGGAAGGGAGGAGAGTTCAGACAAGAAAGAAAAGAAAGAGAGGAAGTTTGGGGGAGAGAAGGAAGGAAAGGAAAGGAGGAAAGCTGAAAGAAAGAAGGAAGATTGGGAGAGAAAGAAGGGGAAAGGTGAGAGGAAGGAAGGAAGGAAGGAAGGAAGGAAGGAAGGAAGGAAGGAAGGAAGGAAGAAAAGAAAAAAGGGAAAGAAAGGGAAAGGAAGGGAAAAAGGTGAGAGGGAGGAAGGAAGGAAGGAAAGAAGGAAGGCAGGAAGGAAGGAAGGAAGGTTGGGAGAATGGAGGAAGGAACGAAGGAAGGTTTTAAGAGACAAGGAACAAAGGGAATATAGAAAAGGAAAGAAGGAAGAATAATTGGGAGAAAGAAGGAAGGCAGGAAGGAAGCCAGGAAAGAAAGAAGAAAGGGCGGAAACTTTGGAGAGAAAATGAAGAAAGGGAAGAAGGAACGGAAGGGAGGAGGGTTCAGACAAGAAAGAAAAGAAAGAGAGGAAGGTTGGGGGAGAGAAGGAAGGAAAGGAAAGAGGGATAGTTGAAAGAAGGAAGGAAAGTTGGGAGAGAAGAAAAAAGGGGAAAGAAAGGGAAAGGAAGGGAGAAAGGTGAGAGAGAGAGGAAGGAAGAAAGAAAGGAAAGAAAGAAGAAAAAGGAAGGAAGGAAGGAAGGAAGGAAGGAAGGAAGGATGTTAGCGAGGAGGAAGGAAGAGACAAAGGATGAGAAGAAAATGTAGAGGAAGGAAGAAAGAGTATGTAGGGAAGGAGCCTGAGAGAAAAGGAAGGAAAGAAATAAGCAAAGGAATAATTAAAAGAGGAAGATAAAAGAAGGAAAGAAGAAAAATGAAGAGAGAGAGAGAGAGGTGCCCAAAAGTATGACATCCATTCATTGAAACAACAGCGTAGATCTCGATCTTTGTACTGTGACCTTGTGTCAGACTAAGATATACTGTTGAGCAGAACATCATTGTAATCTCAATCCAAATAACATTATCTGGCGTGTGTTAATTTAAAAAATGTTTTAAATATTAGATTTAGAATAATTTAAATGTTATTCGGTGTGGCGTGATTTGTCAGACGGTAACGAGATATGTTACGTGTATTTGGTATGCGTCGTGTTCCTTCGGGAGATCATGGCTTTCCACAACTTCCTGTTCTTTGTAGCTAAGTCTTTTTCCTACCCTCATAATCTCAGTTCTGTCAACCATTTACACAAGCTTGTTACGTCAGATATACACTGTTTCTCTCAAACCCTCTTGCCTTCAATATGTCATGTCCGTGTCAAATTCTCCAAGCCCTCTTTCCTTTATGCGACAAGACATTCCACAAGATAGATAAATAGATAGAATCCGACAAAATGGAAATGTATGAGACAATTTTAAGCTAAACGTATAAATGTTTAATTTTTAAATTGAACTGTATCTTTATAGTTTCTAACACATGCATAGATATATATATAATATATATAATACATATATATGTATAAATATATAATATATATATATTTATACATATAATACATATACATATACATATATATATATATATATATAAATATACATAATATATATAATATAAATATATATATATATATATATATATATATATATATATATATATCCATTATGAAATGAACAAAGTCCGACAATTATTTAAAGACATTTTATGTTTAACATTCTTTTTTATAGATACAAGTATTTTAATAAATGCTCTGTTTTTATAATCCTGTCAAAGGACGAATATTTTCTATGAAAATTTCTCGGACATTCAGGCCGGTAAATGTTATTCAATACTGTTTATTATAAAAACAGAGCATTTACTAAAATACTTGTATCTATAAAAGAATGTTAAACATAAAATGTATTTAAATATATATATATATATATATATATATATATATATATATATATATGTAAATAATTTTATATATATATATATATATATATATATATATATATATATATATATATATATATAAAATTTAAATACAAATTATCTCACCAATGTCCTGAAGAGACACGACACATGAAAGAAGAATTGGGGAAAGTTAATATCTTCATTATATCATTATTTTTCTTTCTAGTTTAAATGGCTACACATCTTTTGTTGCTTCTGTTGAAACTGTTCAAGTGATGTGATTTTGTTATTTGTTAAAGCTTTTTGTTTGCGATTCTGTAGCGCCAGTCTATATAGTGCGATGACGAGTTGAAGCCATTTTTAATCATAGACATAAGAAAACGGTTAAATATAGATTATATTTTAGACATTTCTGAACGTGTTGGATGCCATGCATGACATCCACATGAGAGTCAGGATCTGATAAGTCGGGATCTGATATATATATATATATATATATATATATATATATATAAGTATATTGAACATTGAAGTCAACACTTATAGGCGACAGTCTGTTTCATGCTAGACGCAATCGTCAGGCGATCATGGCTCTCCATAATTTCCTGTCTTTTGTAGATCTTTATAAATTTTACTTTTTTATTTATCTCTCTTAACCATGTTCTTTCATCCGATCGCTAGGTAGGTTATGCGTTGTTTTCCTTTGTCCCTCGTGCCGTCAATCTGTCCTGTGGGTATCAAATTTTCCAAGCTCTCTTTCCTCTTTATGTGTCCTAGAAATTTCAACTATCTGTGTCTAATGTTAAGTCTAAGTGTTTTAAGGTTTTATTTCCATTTTCTCTAAAAATTCGTCGTTGTTCGGTTCATGATATTCTCAGCCTCCTTCCGGAGCACTACATTTCCGGTATTTCAAATTTCTTCTTCATCTGCGAGGAGATTGTCCCGCATTCACTGCAGAAGACTGATATTACGAAACAGTTCAATACTGTTTTCTTTGTTTCTAACGAAAATGTCCTATTTATTAATATTTTGTTTAATTGTCTGATTTCACTATCGCACTTTCCGTCTTCTGTTAAAATACTTCCCAGCTATTTAAATTGTCGCGTTTGCTTGATTTTTCTTTCTGCAATTTGTAATTTGCAGGTTGGATTGCTCCTTTAGCTGTGAAGAATGCATTCTGTCTTCTTATAGATTTTTCTTCTCGTTTTATATCACTATTTTCTATACCAGTTTTTCTAGTTCCTGACATATATCTGCTATCAACACTGTGTCATTTGCATATCTAACGTTGGTAAGATTGTGGTCGCCGATAATGGATCCTGTAGCACTTTTAATTCTCTCAGAATCGCTTCACTATATAGGTTGAATAATTCAGGCGAGAAGACTCATCCTTGTCTTAACAACACTTTCTATTGTTGTATATTGGCTGTATTCATATTTAATCCGTATTCAGGCGGTTTGCTGTCAGGTTTGGGATTATTTTAATATCATTGGCAAATGTCAAAGTTACCCTGCAATCCCCAAAATTAAAAGGCTTTGAAGGAAACACCAATCGGTGCTAGAAAGCAAGGTAACGATGAACTTGAAAAGTCTAATTTCAATAAAAAGAATTCATCAATTTCAACCTATAGTGACGGTAACAGTTCAATATATCCCGAATGTTTCCTGTATGGAATCGGCTAATTTCAACACTGGCATATAAATTGTTTCTCTGCGGTTAATTGAAACTGCGTACATTCATGTTCTTGAGTTCCATAATTCATGTTGATTTCTGCGTAAAAAAAACACAAGCATTCCATCCGTTTGAATGGCTGAAAAAGCGGGGGTCTGGATCGGTTAGAACCTATTTTGACGTCCTTCTTTTGTAATTAACAAAGAACGGCTTTCTTGGTGAGGTACTTCGGATTCTGTTTCTGAGTCACGTTGAAATTTGGCAAGGGTAGAAATGTCTTGCAACGCAAAATTAAAAGCTCAGATTAATTTGCAGACATTTAATCAAATCATAGCTTAACGAATTATTTCCAAAATGTCACTTTCTATTTCCACCATAAACGGTAAATTTCAATTTTATCATGACTTTGCTTTACTTGCTTATATCGGCAACAGTTGCTGATTATTTTGTCTCTCTATCTCTCTTTATATATATATATATATATATATATATATATAGATAGATAGATAGATAGATAGATAGATAGATAGGGAAAAGGTTATAGTTGTTCCAACGAGAGAAAAGTGTATATTTTAAAAAGAAGATAAACCGTAAAGGACTTTGTTTGAAATGTGGATTTTTTATTTTAAAATATATATCATACTCTATTTTCCATAATTCTGCTACACGAGTTTCTGGTTTCGCGGCCTTCTTCAAACAAAGAGAAGATATTTCCACGTATTATAAAAATGAATTTTTTGCGTGGTAGTGATTCAAATGTGATTCTTTTTAATATATATATATTTTTTTTAAACATTTAAAATAACATGCCTGCCCGCACACACAATTCCGTAAAATACTTGTCGAAAACACAATTATACTTCGACAGGAAAACAATAGACAAAAACTAAAAATCCTTGAAACAATATACATCAAACAGTTGAAACCCAATCTAAACAAAATCAACTATGGAATCTCTACAAATATCCTTAAATGTCTATAATTGGTAACAGAAGCCATTGGTTTATACCAACGGCTTCCCATACTTCATACTTCTCCAATTCACTCTCGCGTGGTCATGTGTGACGTCATGAGATGCGATGCGATTTTCGCTTCTAGCGTCTTATATGTACGTGTTTATCGTTGCTTAGAAATTATCTATGTAAACATTGACAGACTATCATCACCGTCTTGTCCGCATATTGCTTAATATATTGTAATTAACATCTTTGATAATGGCTTATGTAAGCCGAAAGCTTTGATTGTATTAAAAAATATGGATCAATATTGTGATTTTCTCCGTTCAATGATAATGTTATTAAACTTATTAGACGTTATGAAAAGAGTTTACATAAAATAAATAGACAACACTTGTCTATATTATTTAATGAAACGTGTATGAATATATATATATATATATATATAGTACTTCACGGTTGTTGAAACAAAGCATCTCGAGAAGCGTAAGAACCTTGATGGGGAGGATCAGTGATTCCAGCAGAGTGATTCTCTTCCTCACACTGCTAATGTTACCATGGCAGGGCTCCGGAAAGCTGAAGTGCAATGAGCACTTTATTCGCCTGACCTGACCCCGCCAGATTTTTTTCCTATAGGCGTTCCTCAAAGACAACATCTACCACGGCAACCCTTGTACCATTGGTGCATTGATATAATTTCTATCATTTGTGGTCCTTGATTTGTGCCTGATCATTTCCTTCAAAAATTGTGAAACACCCTGTACGCACTTTTGTATGTAATTATTTATGTATGTAATTACTTTTAGTGATTGAATTATTGCTTTCTTATCTAAGGCTTATCTTCGCTTTGCTGGTTATTTTAGGAAGATTTACAAACGAGTAAAAATAGCGAAAAACAAACGCATTGAAATAATTGTCATATCCAAAATACATGCGTAAATAAATTAAATTAAATTTTTTTTTAATTTTCTATATTAATTCATATTCTTCTTTTTATTTATTTGTTTATTTTAATGTTTATATTTTAACTAATTTTTATTTATATTTTACTTTCTTGATTCATTGATTTTTTACGGATTGTCAACCCTTTGCAGGTTATTTAAAAGCAGAAAATATTTTTGGATTGTAAGAGTTTAATTTTTATTGGGAAATAATAATGGTTTACTGATACGAATTCTACTAATTAACCCATAGTGTGAGGAACCCACACACAAATTTTGTAAAAGTATTTTTGATACACCTTGTAAATGTAAGATAGAATATTGTTTTAAGGTATGCTATATTTATGGGTTAAAATGGTCAATATCAGCGATAGAACGTATATAAATATAAAGGTGGACATTGAAGTCAACACCCATCGGCGACAGTCTGGTCTGATGATTAGTATAAGTAAACGA